ACTCAACTGCCATTGATCTTCACTGTATTATAGCTTAATAGAGCACAGTTTGGAAGTTATTTTGCCTAGGCTCAAAGATCAGCTCTATCATTTGTTACCTGCATGAACTTCGGTGAGTTGTTTAATGTCTGTGTACCTCCATTTCTTCCCCTGTAAAATGGGGATACCTTAAAGAGTGGTTGTAGAGATTTTACATACAAATTTTGTAATGCTTAGAACAATAACTGGCATGAAGTGTTGTCTGTCATTTTTATCACCTTGATCCTTTACATTTTGATTTAATGCTGTCTTCAACTGGTTCAGAAATGATCCTTCTTTCACTCACTTAAGGATCTGTTAATATACAGTAAAGACCTCGCAGTTGAATATAGTTGGTTGCTCTATATAGGGTTTAATTACGGGAGTAAAGCTATCCAAGCCTTACTCCCTCAATAGGTATGCGTATGTACGCCAGGTTATTTCCACTCTGGGAAAGAAAGTACAAGTGATGTAACTCTGGCAAAGGCATATTGAGCCCACAATTTTAATGCTATGGTTATTGAGTTGAGTTTTGAGAGATCATAGACACCCTCAAAAGCATTTAATCTGTTAACTGTGGTGTTTCTTTAAATGACTATTTCAAATATTGACATAAGATAAAAGATGTATCTCAAACTTTGGATGCAACCTTTAAAAAAAATGTACATTGAAACAGAGAAACTTTAAAGGTGATCCCCAAAAATGTACAATTCATAAGACTGTACTGAAACTAGAAGTCTATTATATGAATTTAGCTACAACAATAACAAAAACAACTTAATGTTTTTATTAAAAGAAAACATAAATAGTTTTGTCCAAAAGTGTTAAGTTGTGGCCACTGCTATTCAACATTGTACTGGAGGTTCTAGCCAGGGCAATTAAGAAAGAAAGAGGATCCACATTGGAAAGAATCTCTATTCCTGCATTACATAATTTTATGTGTAGGAAATCTTAAGGAATCTACTTAAATATATATCAGAACAAATGAGTTCAGCAAGGTTGCAGAATACAAGATTCATCTTTTATAATCAGTGATACTTCTATACATTTGTAATGAACCATCCAAATCTGAATATTAAAAAACAGCTCTATTCATAACAGTATCAAGTAAAATACTTAGGCATAAACTTAACAAAAGATGTGTAAAACTTATACTCAGAAAACTTCAATTAATGGGGAAAAAACAAAGATCTGAATGGAAAAAAATCGCATATAAATTGAAAGACTTGACATTGTTAAGATGGCAAGATTCTCCAAATTGATCTACAACCTCAACGTAATCTTAATCTGAATCACAGCTTACTTCTTTGTAGAAACTAACAAGCTGATTCTGAAACTCACATGGCATTGCCAAGGACCCAGAATAACCAAATCTTTAAAAAAAAGAACAAAGTAGGGTGACTGACAGTTCCTGATTTCAAAACTTACTATTAAACAATGAGAATCAATGCAGTATGGCATTGACACAAAGACAAAGAATAGATCAATGAAATAGAACTGAATGTCCAGAAATAAAGCCACATGTTTATAGCTAACTGATCTTTGACAAAGGTGCCAAAATAAGATGGAGGAAGGAATATTTTTCCCAACAAATATTTGCAAGTCTTATGTAAAAAATGAAGTCAGACCCCTATCTCAAATCATATTAACTCAAAATAGATCACAAAGCTAAATATAAAAGCTAAAATTATAAAATCGTTAGAAGAAAACAGAAGTAAATCTTCGTGTCCTTGGGTTACACAGTGGTTCTTAACTATAACATCAAAGAAAAACAGATAAATGGAATTTCGTTGAAATTAAAGTCCTCTGTGCTTTAAAGAATGCCATCAGAACAGTGAAAATGTAATTCAAAAATTGGAGAAAATGTTGTGAAATAATATCTCATAAGAGATTAGTATCTAAAATATATAAAGAACTCAACTCAAACATAAAAAGACAACCCAATTTAAAAAATGCAAATGATTTGGAAAGACGTCTCTCCAAAGATATACAAATGGTCAACCAGCATATGAAAAGATGTTTGATATTGGTTAAAAGAGCAAGGCAAATCAAAACCACAACTAGGTATGGACTCTCACCCATTAGGATGCCTAGAATCAAAAAGTCAGATAATACCAAATGTTGATAAGGATGTGAAAGAACTGGAATCCTTATCTATTGCTGGTGGGAATGCAAACTGATGTGGACACGTCAGATGTATTTAGCAGTTCTTCAAATGATTAAACATAGAGTTATTACTACGTGACTCAAAAATTCAACTCTTAGGCATATACACAAGAAAAATGAACATACATGTCCATACCATTTGACTCAGCAATCCCATTACTGGGTATATACCCAAAGGATTATAAATCATTCTGTTACAAAGACACATACACATGTGTGTTTGTTGTGACACTGTTTACAATAGCAAAGACTTGGAACTAACCCAAACACCTATCAATGATAGACTGGACAAAGAAAGTGTGGCACATATACACCATGGAATACTATGCAGCCATAAAAAAGGATGAGTTCATGTCCTTTGCAGTGACACAGATGAATCTGGAAACCATCTTTCTCAGCAAACTGACACAAGAACAGAAAACCAAACACCACATGTTCTCACTCATAAGCCGGTGTTGAACAATAAGAACACATGGACACAGGAAGAGGAACATCACACACTGGGGTCTATTGAGGGGTGGGGGACTAGGGGAGGAATAGCAGTGTGTAGGGAGATTGGGGAGGGAAAACATTAGGAGAAATATCTAATGTAGGTGATGGCGGGGATGGAGGCAGCAAACTACTATGGCATGTGTATACCTATGTAACAATCCTGCAAGATCTGCACATGTACCCCAGAACTTAAAGTATAATAATTTTAAAGAAATTTGTCCCAAGGTTCTCTTAGGAACATTACTCATATTAGCTAAAAAACGGAAATACTCACAATTTCCATCAATTGATGAATTTATTTTTAAAATGTGGTATAGATTATACAATACTATTTTTCCAAAAGTAAATGAAATACTGTTATATACTGTAATATAAATGAATCTGGAAAAAGTTATTCTATGTGGAAGAAGTTAGTCACAATAGACCACATATTTTATAATTACATTTACATGAATTGTCCAGAACAGGAAAATCCATGGGTTTGGTTACCAAGAGCTGAAGAAGAAGAGAGGATATCTGCTAATAGGGATAAGATTTCTTTTGGGGTTAAAAAGGTTCTAAAATTAAGTAGTAGTGATGGTTACACAACATTGTGAGTTAACTAAAAACTGCTAAATTGTATACTTTAAAAGGGAGAGCTTGATGGTGTGTAAAATACATCTTAATAAAGTGATTCCTTTAAAAAAAAAAAGGGAGAAAAAAACCCTAGGATACAGGTAATATATTAAAACTTAAGGAAATGATAAGCCTCTCCAACACTCGTGCATATCTTAATCTGGGAATAAGCCAAAACACTTAAAAATTATATGTACAAAAGCCTTGGCTGGTATTTGCAACTCAAATTTTTATGTAAGAACTCAGATTTTATTGTTTCTTTGTCTTTGATGGTAACTCTTTATTCCCCATTTCAATGCACTAAAATGATATAGCGCTATAATTCTTGCTACTAATGTGATTAATTCACCTTCCAAGAAATGTAGAAATGACCTGAATGGCAAACAAGTGAGATATGGCAAGAATTCACCTGCCCTCAGGATCGATCTCTTTAATGTTAATTTTATCAGGGAGAGTTTAAACATATGACATCATAAATCCAGGATCCTAAAGTCAGATTGGCAAAGACGTTAGTAAAGTTGGCCATTTAACTCCCATAGCACCACAACTGTATCTTAGCAAAATATAGGCTTTTCGTATCCCCTTATGATGTCTAAGGAATTAAGGTAAAAAATTCTGTTCTGATAGTGGAAAATAGGTCAAATGCCTAGGTTTTGAACATGTGCCCTCTATAGAATAGAGGCACATAATTCAGGCTTAATTGTGGCATGTTCTTAGAAATTATTTCTACAAAGGAGCAAAACTATTTGCTCTCTCTCAATAAAAATAGTATAGTCCTTTACTCTTTTGTCTACTTTTGTCAAATTTAGAATCAAAATTTTTAGGAGAGCTACATGATTATTTTGTAATTTTTGACCATTTGGTGGGAATGAACATATACTTTACAATTTTTTAAAAATAACAATAAATTCTTAGATGTCTTGAAGATATTCCATGATCCTCTGTTGCAACTTTCTGTACTGTTTATTTTTACTTAACTTTTACTTTAGTTTCCGGGGTACAAGTGCAGGTTTGTTATATAGGTAAACTCATGTCACAGAGGTTTGTTGGACAGATTATTTTATCATCCAGGTACTAAGCCTAGTACCCAATCTTTTTTCTACTCTTCTTGTTCCTCCTACCCAACACCCTCAAGTAGACCCACGTGTCTGTTTTTCCCCTCTTTGTTTTCATGAGTTCTTACCATTTAGCTCCCACTTTTAAGTGGGAACATGGAGTATTTGCTCTTATGTTCCTGCTTTAGTTTGCTAAGGATAATATCCTCCGCTCCATCCATGTTCCAACAAAAGACATGATATCATTCTTTTTTATGGCTGCATAGTATTCCATGGTATATATATATATATCACATTTTTGTTATCCAATCAGTCATTGATGAGCATTTAGGTTAATTCTACACTCTTGCTATTGTGAGTAGTGCTGCAATTAACACTCATGTGTATGTATCTTTATAAATACCCTTATTTTTTGTGCTGTTTTGTTGCAGCAAATGAAACCAGATTTTCTCAATAGTAGTCCACTGCATGGAATTAAGATTCATGTATGGAGGTGACAGGTTATTCCCGTAACTTTTAATTCAAAGAAATACACAGTCATTCAATATATGTTTACTATACTGCCTGTATTGTCCAAGCCTGTCCTGACTTCCGAATTTCCCCTTCATGTCCTTAAGTAGATAAGAATGTAAAATGCCAAGTGACATGTTCTTGGTTTGAACATATATAGCTCTGGAAATGATATTTTTCTCCAATAACCTTTTTATGCTCCTTGAGATTCAGTTGTAGGCCAGTTCTAATTGTGACTTCTGTGACTGCTGACAATTTGCAATCTCTGGGTCTGAGATTTCTCATCTATAAAGTGAAAGTATAAGCATAAATTATTACCAGTTATGAAGATCTAATTTAGATGAAAATGCTCACTGCTACCCCTTTTTATATCTAGTAAATAGTTAGAAGATGTTGACGTCTGATGTCACTTTGCCAGCTGAAAACATCTGGGGTCGACAGCGTCTCTGCTGGAGTTTTACTTATATCCGCTGGACTAGTTTCACCCATTCAGTCTAGCAGGTGTGCTTGGCTTGTGCAACCAGCCTGGATCCCATGACTTCCAAGGGTGAGCCAGTTGTGGAGTGACAAGGGTGTGTGAACAACCAAGTGTGAGGTCCGGCCACTGCACACGATCAGGCATGCTGGCTATTGCAGCAGGGCAGGCAGCTGCAGGCACCAGCACAGGTGCCAGCTCCATGAGAGGTTGATATAAGACCAGACGTACTGCAAGAGGCTTCCACTCTAGGTACCAGTGTTTGGACAAGGGGAACACAGTGTTCCCAAAAGCTCAGAGATGCCAGAAACCGCAGAACTCCAAAGAGGGTATTATAGCGTAACACAGCCCTGACATGGGGAGCCCCTAGGTCTGGGCTCCCAGAAGGTTTGCAGCTCTTCTGCTCTCACTGCCCACAGCATAGTGAGCTGTGAGGGGGATGTTGCAGAGCAGGTGCGTTTCAGCCTGTTTGTGTTAAAATTCTTTCAGACCTGCCTTCTTGTTCTGGCCTGTGATTCCTGGGCTAGCCCAGCTCCACTGCTGCTTCCTGTTGTTTGGGGCAACTGCCTGGTGCCAGCAGAGGGCAGAAGGGCTGTAATGTTACAGCAGGTCTGGCTTGAGGAATCTTGAGGTCTGGGCCCCTAGAAGGGTCACCACTCTTCACTCCCATGGTCCAGCAGCATGTCACTGTCCATTACTTAGCGAGCCAGCCAGAAACATGGTTCTTATCACTCCCACTGTTTGGTGGGTCTTGAGTTCTTGTCTTGTGTCCAGGAAGAATGAGGTTATGTGGATAACTGGAGGTTGAACAAGGTGGTGGGAGTTTTACTGAGTTTTGGAACACCTGTCAGTGGAGAGGTTACCTGAAGTGGGCAGCTCTTATCTTCAGGCAGGTCATCCCTACAAGTCTATCAGTCTGCCTGAGTCTGGGGATTTTATGAGCTTAGAATTGAGGAAGTGCATGCCGGTTGGTCCGTGGGTGGCCATGGATAGGCCTAGAAAAAGCACCATTCAGTTGGCTGAAAGGCATCAAGAAAGTTCTGGCTCCAGGTCACTGACTTCACCCAAAACTGGCATTCTGGCCCTCAAGCTTCAGGCTTGATGATGGGGTTTCACTAGGGGGCCATGGCTTCCCACCTAGGAACCTGTCTGCCTCTGACCACCATCAACATGCCCTCCAAGGTGCCCAGGCTGTCTGTGACGAGGGTCAACCACAGCCCCATGCCAAGCCACTCTCAGCCTCCCGGCCTCCCTTCTGTGCTTGTTGGTGCCCAAAGTTTTAGCCTTAGAAATGGTTTCCAAAGGGGGCCAAGACAGCACAGTACTGCTGTGTCAGTGCTGCCCCAAGTGCATGCATACCTGGTCAGGTCACAACAGCACCTGGGCTTAGCTATCAGAAAATGTCCACAACTTTTCTCTGCCACAGAGCAGGTACTTGGAGCAGGGAGAGGCCAGGGAAGTGGTACCAGCCATTTCTGAGCCTGTAGCAGTAGGGGGCTTCCTGGGCCCCTGAGAGCAAAAGGATGCTCCTGTCTGAAGCTATTGCTGGGCAGCTGCAGCTGTGCCTGGGAGGAGGGGCTCCCACCTCACTATTCAGTAGGGTGTGGGGCGTCTGCTGGGATCACATGTTCTCTGACCCCATCAGTTCCACAGAGCACACAGCCCCAGCTGCACCTCCCCTGCTGCAGCTGGTGTCCTCACAGCAGCCACTCCAAATGGGCTTCCACTGCCCTCAGTGTTTATTTTTTACTTCAATGCATACAGTTGCATATAGAGTTTAACATGAGACACCTGCTGGCATGATGGCATTTTTCTTTAATGTTTCTATTCTTGTTTCATACTCATGTTTTCAGTGCTATCTTCTCTTACAACAGAAAATATTTTGATGGGATTTTTTTTTTTAAAGAATGCCAATGTGTAACTCAAATATTTAGTTGTGTCTATTTCTTGACCAACTAAAGAAGCATATTTGTAAAATACATACTATTTTCTCTCCTTCTCCTATAATATAAAAGGGCAGAATTCCTTTAGCTAGCATTCCTTTAACAGAAATGCCTAATTCACCCCAGTAAGAAAGGAAATTTTGTGAGCGTATTTTTTTGTAAAGATGGGGATAATTTAAATTTATACTTAGATTTACTATGACAAAATGGATTTTTTTATCTCAGCTCTTTGCAATGATGATTTTTAATTTTTTGATTCCTAACATAATGTGTATTCTTTTGCCATAAGTGTTTTACAGGTAAAAGTATCAAGTGGTTTGTATGTTCCATATTATTTTTATAAATGGATGGTCTGAGAAATCAAAAACAGTTTACCTTACTAAGATTAACTGCTTCCATCCACTGCACAGAAAACTGGCGTGGTATTCCCATTCCCTAAATTGTCAAAGACTTGGCTAAGGTTATGGCTTAAGTGTTCTACATCCATGACAAAACGTTCCCCTGAAATCACAAGACATCTTTGTTTGGAATAATTCCTTCCAGATCTGCTATTTTCAAAACTAAACTTATTAGACCCTGGTTGAAATGGGCACAAAAGTAATGTAAACAAAATTTTTGAGTTTTTATATGCTTACTTTGAAAGATGACTTCACTAGGAAGCTTATTAGCACCTGTTTGATTATTAAAGGGGCCTATCTTAGAATTGTAAATTCTGTGAAAATCGCAATACACAACAGTCTTCAGGTATGATTAACCTCTGTGTGAAATAGGATTTTAAAAATTATGATTCTTTTCATACTGAAGGGAAAAGCCTCATTGTTAGGAACAAATCTATTATCTTAATAATGTGATGTATTATCTTCTCCGTCCACATGAAGGATCTGCCTCTAGATTCTATTTGAATTGAGGGTTTCTACTGACTTAATAATGTATACTCTGTCGTTTTAGCTTTACTGGAACAGGCGTTCGCTGATTTTAGAAATCAACTAAAACTGTCCAAACTAAGTTTTTTTTCTTGTAGGAAATTTTTTTATATTTTTTATTTCTCAGCTCCCACCAAGATTTGACTTTTTATCATTAATGTTATGAAATGATAGAGATGCTATTTATAACATGTCATTGCTGCAAGGACTTGGAAGTAAGAAAATTAACATAAGTCAACTCAACAAACATTTACAGAGCATTAACTATATGCCAACCAGTGTCAAGCCTTGAGAAATTAGAGTTGAAAAATGTACTGTCTTCCTTCAAATTGCCGGCAACATAGTCGAGGCAGAAAGCCATAAATTTCAGTACCGTAATTGTATGCATACCAGTGGAAGAATGTAATCAAAACGTTTTGCTTTACATACAGCAAAGGTGAAGTCCAGTGACATAAAGTAATTTGCCCAAAGTCACAAAGATATTTGACAAAGATCCAGCATAAACCCAGGCCTTCTAATTTCTTCTCTATGGACCCAGAGCTGAATTCTGTAAGAAATGAATTATTTCTTGTACTTTCTTCTTCTTCTGAAAACTGAGAAAAAAAACCCACAACAGTCATAAACATAACTAACAATATAAAACATAATATACTAAATTTTTCCATTATACCCCCATGCCCAATTTACTCCCCTAATTACCATATCGCCTCCATTTTTCCTATCAGGGTATAGGAAGGAAAGTAACGTTGAGGCATCTACCCTGCTAAATGATGTTTTTTTAAGTTCGTAAGGAACATTCCTGAGCTTTTAGATCTTTTGCTCCATGGCTCTGCCACCCACTTCTCACCATCAGCAGAGAAGGGCTATCAACACGATGAGCTCCACTACTCCTCAGGCCTCTGCCCTTCCCAGAGGTGTCCAGTCTGTGATGATGTGTTTGCATATTTTGCTATTATTAACACTACAAATAATAAGATAATTTTACAGAATGTACATGTCCTTGAACAAATAATTTAATAGGAAAGCATCTCTAAAAATTTAATTGCTAAACATAGATGTACAATTTTAGATTTGGAAAGGTATAACCTGTATGTGTGTGTGTTTGTATGTATATGCGTGAATTATTTATTCATGTCTCTTGCCTATTTTTCAATAGGAGTTTTACAAAACACTTACTGGGTTGTATAAGTTCTTATATATTAAAATATGTTTTTAAAAAATATCCAGGAATTTTTCTTTTATTTTCCAACTTTATGATGTATTTTGCCACTCAGAATTTTTTATGTAGTTAAATTTACTCTTTCCTTTATGGTTTTTTACTTTCATGTCATCTTTAGAAGGACTTTATCCTTTTCGAGTTTCCAGATGTACTCACTATATTTTCTTTTGGCACTGTTAAAATGTTTTTTATTTATTTTATTTTCCTCTAGATGAATCTGAATTAATTTAGTTGCAAGATATGCTGAAGAAATAAAGGACAGCTTTATTTTTTGGCGAAAACCTAGCTAATAGTCTCAATTAACATTACTGAGCAATCAGTATTTTACTGATTTAAACTATCAAAGTGGTATTCTTATTGTCATTATAATTTTCATTTTGTAAATGTATGTGCCAAAATATGTTCCATACCAATAATAAAAACTCTTAAAACAGTTTCACATTTGCCAAGAATTATATGGCTATGGACAGAAGCCAAGTCAATCTTTGCAGTTTTCAGTTTGACTTTTTCTTAATTTTTAGTGATTGAGCAGAGCAATCATTCCTGTTGCTGTACAAAAATATATGAACCTAGTGACCCTTCTCTGAAAAACAGTTATGAGACAACATGTGCTGAAGCCCCATGGTAAAAGTAGCATGTATATCATTTGAGAGAAAAGTGCAATTTCTTTTCACATTTAAAGACAGAAAGCTTCAGTGAAGCAAATTGGTGTTCCTTGTATTCAAGAATTCTCTTTGCTCAAATGAGCAACATCTTCTAAAAGATGTATTGGGGTCATTGTGCCACTTATAAATCTGCATAAGCTACACTGGGCACAAGATAGTCTACTTTGGAGACAAAAACCAGCTTGCTGGTGTCTAGAAGTAAGGAAGGTAACCTACCTTCCTGGAAGTTCTTTTGAGAGCATCTCAGCACTTACACTGTAGAGACACAAGTTTGGAGAAAAAAATCCCATGATTAATGAGGAAGCCTATAAAATAAGCCTCTCCAAAGTCCTGAATTATAAAATTGGAGACAAGTGGCCATAATTTTATTGAGATCTGCCAGCATCATGCTGAAGATTAGTTCTACCAATATTCTGTTCTCTTGTCTCCCACTGTCCCTGTGAATAAAAGAGCATGAATGGAATAGTTTAGATAATATCCTCATCTCTTGAAATGGTGATTTATGAAGCTCTGCATTTATTTTTCTAAATCCACCCATCTTTTCAAGCACCAACTCAATTTTCGTTTTTGCATAATGCCTCAAAATGTTGAAAATAAATCTCATAGCCTTGGATAGTATTAATTTATGGTTTAAACCCTATAGTTTGTACTTGGCATAATCTGACTGTTGTTCAATTTTTTTCTAAATGTTTATAATTCTTTTCTTCTCCATGTGTTGTAATTAATCAAGGACAGAATTATGGGTCACGTTTTATGCTGTCCTCCATAATGCATAGCATAGAGTCTAGAGATCTAGAGGTCAAGTGACATTCTAAATGCATCTTACCTAATCATTCCTAACTCATTAGAAATACGATTCTCTTTCCCCACTCTAATTATCTTGTTCTGTGATTCTGTCTTGTTTCAACAACATACAGGAAGAATTTGTGTCTTTAAGCTTGTTCTTAGGCAAACAGAGACAAAAATTCTTATTAATATACACTTTCTATCTGAACTTTTCTGGCAGAAATAAGCTGCAAGGCTATCATTCTTTCATTTCTAAACAAAAACCAAAGGTGGATATCAGTGCAACAGGCCATTTACCAAGCAGAATAATCTTACCCATTTACCATTATTTTGTTTAAAAGTTTGTGCATGACTTGAGGAGTGCTGAATATTAGGGTTGTTTATCAGGGATTACAGCAAGTTAAATTGGACAAGATTAGTAGCTAATTAAGCAAATGCGTTTTTTTCATCAATATATTTTGTATTTCTTATAAAATAATACATATAGTAGGTCTTATCTTTTCAGTTATTTCAGTCACTATAGCAATCACATAACTTTCTATTAAAAACAAATACCATAAAATAATAAAGTCTCTCTTTGAGAGCTATTCTAGATAATAAACTACTATGAAGGCATTTCTTAGGTAGTTTTGGCATATAATTGGGTTTTAAGTGCTCAGATGAATCAAGAAAATCTGCATTATTCTGGGACAAATGGATAAACTAAAAGAGCTTGTGTCAGCCTAATTTGTATTATGATCCATTGTAGTATCCGAAGATTACATGTACATTGAAGAATGGCAGTGCATCATTGAATAGATGTGTTACGGAGCAGAGATCTGCTTTCTACCATTCTATGAGTTTGGAATGCCTTTCTTGACAAGCTGAGGAAGGAAACTTTACTCGTGGGGTAGTATTTTTTCTTCCCTACAGGTTTAATTTGTTTTTGACTGAAAGAGAGCATTATGCTTTTGGCAGTGCACAAATTAAAAATATTAATGAACTGCAGTAAAAAGTAAATTTTTTTTAATTAAATCACAATCAAAGTTTATATTCATATCTCAGACTTGTCAGCCTGTCACTGTGTCCCTAGGCTGAAGCAATAGAAGGAAAAATCTGATGAATTTTATTTCCTTGTGCTCCTGGTTATTGCCAAATTCTTTTAGAAATAAGAAATGTTATTATTTCCTTTCTCAGTCCAGATGGCTACTGTTTTTATGTTCATTAATAGAGTAAATCAGAAGTAAGAGACAGAAAAAATTTAATGGATACTATTTTCTTCTTTTATTATAATTTTATATTTGGTTTCAAATGCCATAGAAACTAAAAATTAAATTATTCAAGTTAAAATCAATGAAAAACTTGTTTAAACTTTGTGTTTTGCTAAGTTGGTACAAGATCTCACAATGCTAATGCTGAATTGAATGCTAATGGAAAAAATATGTACATTCATGCATCAAAATGACAGTTTTTGTGCCCAGAGAAATGCTATTGGCTTACTTTCCCAGTGAACAACCCTTCATATAGGTGGATATAGTGGTTTAGCTTGGAAATCATGTCATGACTCTGAATCAGACTTGTCTAATTATTGAGGCTTTGCGAATCCAGCTCAAAATAAGGGAGTAGTTTGAACAGCAGAGTTTGTCAGTCTTTGCACTATTGACATTTAAGATCATCCTATATATTGCAGAACTCTTAGCAGCAACCCTAGTTTCTCCCTACTACATGTAGCAGTAGCCAGCCACTTCTGATCATCGCAAGTGTCAGTAGACATTGAGACTGTCTCCACTTGGAAAGTAAGTTCACCCTTTGTTGGGGACCGTTGGAATAAAGTGGATATAACTTCAATAGAAATCATATGCTCTCAAGGCATGTCCCATCTCTGAGAACCGATCATTAAAACAAGATACTAAGTAGTCGAAATTATTATTTGGCATGTAATTCTATTTTAGCCTGTTTTTGTTATTGTTGCCAGAGTTATATATTTTTCAATTAAAAGATACAAAGTAAATAGGATCAAAGCTCAGATGTTACCAGCTAAGTATAGTGATACCTCATTTATTATGGTTGGTAGATTCATGGAAACTGCCGTCCTAAGTGAAACAACGTATAAGAAAACCAATTTTACCAAAGATTAATTGATATAAACAAGAAAACAATTCCTATGGCATATTTCTCCTCACAAGTACATCACTAAATTTTTACATAAAGATTCAAATCACTTCTAATATTAAATATTAAAATAAATATGAGCTATACATATGTTTCAGAATGATTAATAGAAATACTAATTTACCTATTTATTGTAGCTTAGGGTCTCAGGTGGCCTTATCCTGTCCAGGCAGCTCAGCACAAGGTGGGAATCAACCCTGAAGAGGATGCCATGCCATCATAGAGCATACACACACACACACACACACACACACACACACACGTAAGGTCTCTCTCCGTCTCTCTCTCTCTCTCTCTCTCTCTGTCTCTGTCTCTCTCTCTCTCACTCTCAGTCAGACTAGGACCATTTAGATGTGCCAGTTCACCTGGAGAGAAGATGCAAATTCCATACAAATCACAACCCTGGGTGGAAATCATTTTTTTCTCATCAATGTTATTAGTAAACAATATTGAATTAAATAACATTATTCCAGGAACTGCTGTGTGTGTGTGTGTGTGTGTGTGTGTGTGTGTGTGTGTGTGTGTGTCTCCAACAGGTAGGTGTCAACTAATGATATTAATGTAGATAGACAACTCTCTGGATATACTCAGAAAATAATAGTGTAGTCTTTCATACCTTAAAGAGAAAATTTGAAAATGAAAATAGAATTTAGTTAATGCTTTAGGAAATAAAAATTTTTAATTCTCTTATGGATCTCTTAAATTAAAAAACAAAACAGAATAGGCGATATTAAATCTTTGCATGAAGTCAGAATGACCTGAATTAAGAAGCAGTCCTTCAAATCCATCATGAGTTGCTTTCTAATGCATAAGTGGGAATCAAGTATTTGAAATTAGACCATTAACGTTTTGTTTTTACTTATTTACCATGAATTAAATTTTGTTACTGTAGGCCTAATTCTTATAATGGGAAAGATGATTAAGAAACTTACTTAATCATCTTTCCCATTATAAGTACAAGTACCTCTTGATATGTGGAAAGGACTTAAGACATTAAAGTTGAGAGTTCTGGGCTTTGCCTTTTTTTTTTGCTACTGATGAGCTATGTAAATTAGCCAAATAATCTAGCCTTATTTGAGGTTTAGTTTCTATAAAGAAGAAAATAAAGTAAATCCCCTCTTACCTACTTTATATTTTTGTAACAAATGATACTAAGCTTTAAAACCTATTTGCTACACAGATAAGTTCAGGTTGCTCTGATAATCTTTTTACTTAGCAAAATGACATTCACGGTAAGAATGGCAGAGATCTATTCTAATTTTTTTTCACAAAAAGAAACAAAATCTGCTTTTAAAAACTAATTGGATGTGATCAGCATGATGCAATTCCACTGAACCACAGCTCTTTCAGACTAGAAGATAATTTTATAAATATTTACATAAATGTATATAAAATATAGAAAAATAATATTCTATTAGTTGACTTTAAGTAAACAGGTTTCCTCAGCAAGCGTATTCATATATACATATACATGATGAGCTCAATCTATAATGGAATGTATCTAAATTTCCAGAATATGATTTAATGACTTCTATATAAATGGTGATTACAGTATTTAGGTCAGTAATATAGACCAAATACTACTATAAAAATTTTCCCCTTTAGGATTTGCTTAAATTTTTTCTTCTGATAAATAAAAATGATCTACATTACCCAAATACTGTCTTCCTCTTTTAGAATGGCTGAATGTGAAATGTGCTACTTAATAAAGCAGATGCAAGGTTTGTAGTATGCATTAAGATAGATTGCTTATGTGAAATGGAAATGAATACCATAAATCAAAATAGCTCGTTATTCATTTCTTGTTGTATAGTAATTTATCAGTTTTATTTTTAGTTTTTTATTGTTAAGGTCTATAGTTTACTACCTGAGTGTTGGCCTACTTGTAAAATTTGATTACATGTATGCCTCTACCACAGCAAAAGAGTGCACATATCATATTGCGACATTTCAGTTGTAAGAGATTATTGAGAACGTTACAGAAAATCATATTAGTTGATGTCTTATCAACATTTAGTAAAATTAATTTTGATATTTTACAAATAATAACATAATACTTCAAAATAGACAATACAATCCAAAAGAGAAATAGAAATATTATAGGGGTATAGAAAGTTGTAAGAAAATACTGAGCACTCATGACTAAGCATATTTTAAAAACACTCAGTTTGTTTTTGTATTTGAATCTCTGCAAAACCACAAGTTCTTACCTTATAATTTATATGCCAATTTATTCAGAGTAAGAAAATGTTTTGTAAGATCTTAAACCATTGACATTCATTCACTCACGAAATTAAGACTGCAGACTTGAAAAGATATAATTACCGTCCTTGAGAGGCTCATGGTATAATTGATGCTATATAATGTAATCTGGAGGGTCTTTAAGAAAGATCTTCTGTGATTGACAAATGGAAGGGAAAATATTCTAGTTCGAAGAATTATAATTTTAAAAATTATGTTTTTTAAATTTACAATGAGGTTTAACTAAGCAAAAATATAGAAAACACACCGTGTTTTTCTTGGAATGGCATTCTGAATTATATTTTTGAAACTCTAGGTATTATGCAAGTTTTCACCAATTTTAAGTGAATTTTCATCAAGGATTATCTGACAACTATAGACTTCTGTCTTTCTTTTTAAAAATTAAATATCACTTTTTTAATGTCTGTAAAAGTGCAACAGTTTTGTTATCTCTACATTAGAGCAACAGTGAAATACTCTCGAGGACTTTGAAATTGGGTTGTTCTCTGAGAGTTATGTTAGTAAAATTCACAGTCAATGACAGTGATTAGCCCACTAGTATAAGAATAATGGCAATTCAGAAAAAATAATGGCAATAATAATAATGCAAATAATTGATACTGTGTGACTCCAATCAAAAATCCTCCCAAAGAGAAATGCTGAAATTTACGTACATTTTAGTAAGAAGAAATGAAATATAAAATATTCTATCCCATTTGGGTTTCTTACTTACCTTAATATTTCACCCTGGATGACATTGCCAGCAAATGTGTGAGGGAAGAGAATTGCCATTCTGAAAAGAAACTCCAGGTAGGTAGAAAGAGTAAACACATAGCTGAATGCATCACTGATGAATGTCCTAAAATTGATGAAATTGGGCCCTGCAACTGCAGAACTTTCTGTAAACATATTATTTCTAGAAATCTCTTTTTTCAATTTGACTAATATAAGCAGAACTATAGAAGTAAATCAACATAGTAATCTTTGCTGTTATTGGTACCAGTTCTTATGGAAACATCTCTCTGGCATTGAAAGTCTGTTCTTGGCTTACAGAAAGTCCTTATAAACTTGGTACTATGTTTTTGTCTCATATTTCTAAATGAAAGAAGTACATTAAAGGGTGAGCAGTTTTCCTACTGGCAAGTGTGTGTCCGTTAGAAGTAAAAAGTGCACTGAAAGAGAGAAAATAAGTGAGTACTCTAATAGGCCTAAGGAATTTCAAAGCATAACAAGGTGGAGTCATTGACTGTTTGGGCAAATAACTAAAGGTTTCAATAGTCCTTTATATAGCAGAATGCAGGCCAATAGAATAGTAGCACTGCTAACTCTATCATCAAAAATAAGAGAAAGTTACAGGATGTGAATATAAGAGAGAAATTAAGTATTTTACACATTTTAGAAAAAAGTTTTATTTTAAAGGAAAAAGCTTAATTTATCAGATAATTCATATGCAAAACAATTTTTTCCTCATAACTTCAGAAAAAATGTAGGCTATTGCATTATTTTAGAAATGGTAGGCTAGATAATGTAAAAGTAAACAGTAATCACACTGCTATTCCAATGAGTATGCCAGGATCCGTACTGCTATTCCAGAATGCTGGCATACTTACTGGAATAGCAGTGGTATTCCAGTGGTACAAATCATTCATTCCTAAATAATAAATGATAGCAGTGGTTGACAAATGGAACCATTTGGAAACAATGAGTGGTAGCAGTGGTTGACAAGTGGTAACATCGCTACCATTCCTTGTTTAGGAATGAATTATTTGCACCAGTTCTATTGTACATCAAAACAAGCACCATCCTCTATTTTGTTATAAGTTCTATTAGGGATTAAAAATGAAATATATCTCATCCATGACATAATGATTTGTATCTTGTATATATTGAATAGTTACTTGAAGGGATTTATTCACAACTGTGTGATCTCTGAGTCCCCAGAATAGATAGGCTGCCAAAAAAAACTCTTATTTTGTTTTAACAGCACAGTGGTTTAATTAACAATACCCATAATTATAATTTTGAGAATATACCTTATATGTACATAAATACCATTTTAAAAGACATTGGAAAAATACTGATTACAAAATAATTGCTTTATGGCGTTTCAAACATGTCAGTCAGAGGTACATATGCCATTGTTAGCAACTTGTAATTTTAATAAAAAGCCAGCCGGGTGTGGTGGCTCACGCCTGTAATCCCAGCACTGTGGGAGGCCGAGGCGGGTGGATCACGAGGTCAAGAGATCGAGACCATTCTGGTCAACACAGTGAAACCCCGTCTCTACTAAAACTACAAAAAATTAGCTGGGCATGGTGGCGCGTGCCTGTAATCCCAGCTACTCAGGAGGCTGAGGCAGGAGAATTGCCTGAACCTAGGAGGCGGAGGTTGCGGTGAGCCGAGATCGCGCCATTGCACTCCAGCCTGGGTAACAAGAGTGAAACTCTGTCTCAAAAAAAAAAAAAAAATAAGCCAATCTGTTCATTTAGCTTACCTTTAATCACAGATAATATTTTTATTGGGTGGTGTTTTTCACTTCTAGTTCTTTTAACTTATTCTATTATTTTATCCTTGCTGATAACAAATTATTTTAGTGGGTATGGCCAATGGTCTTTTGGATGCAAGATGTTTCAGACTTTTTAATGTTTTCCGCCTTTTTGTTTCTTTCTATTTAATACATGTCCCACAGCAGTACTACCTACCTCTCCCCATTCCTAACTCAAACAGGCTTTTCTTCTTCTACATCTTATATTTAGATTTCTGTTTGGCAGAATAGTTGGATACACTATTGAGTGTTTTAAGAGTTAGCAAAAGTATGATGATATGTAATGACCTACTGTAAATAACAATAGTACTCCTAACTTATTTTGGTGTCTGATAATACATAAGAAGAAAACTTCATGAGAAATACGTAAACATAGGAAACTTGATCATATATGTAAAATATTTTAGAATAATCATTTAAGAGAAATAGTTTTTATCTAAAATATATAATACTTGATAAGAATGGTTTTCTTTTGTAACAACTGTGTATTTCC